CTGGGGGCACACTGGTGGCTGAGATAAGTCCTGTTTTCATGGAACTTAAGTGACAGGAGATACAGTCAAACAAATAAGTAACAAAGTTTAATAAGACCTCAGATCAGAAATAAGACAAAACAGGCAATAGAGGAAAGCTACATTTGGTATCTGTGGAGCTCTTTCACAACTATTCATAGAACCTTCTGACAGATGGATTAAGAACATTTGGACCAAGAGACAAGAAATAAACTAAGAAATCTCTGAGTTTACATTTTGTCTTGAGAATTTTTAAATTTGTTTTAGGGGTACAAAATAACATAATGATTAGACATTTATACCTCTCACAAAGTGATAACTCCCCTCCCAGTCTACTCCCCCACTGACATCATATATAGCTGTTACTATACCATTGACTCATTGACTATATTCCCTATGCTACACTTTATATCTGTGATGATATATAATATATATTCATAATTATATTTAATTATATATAGATATATACTTAATTATAGCTAACATTCAATATTACTCTACATCAGCTTCAGGTGTACAGCACAGTGGTCAGGCAGCTACACAATCTATGAAGTGATCACTGAGATATAGCAAAAACTGATAGTTGCTAAATAGGAGGGGGTTTGGGAGATGGGGGAGAAGGTGAAGGGATTAGAGAGTGCAAACTTGTCATCACAAAATAGTCACAGGGATATGAAACACAGTATGGGGGGATATAATCAATAATGTTGTTTAGATTATGTAGGGTACCAGGTGGGTACTGGTCTCGAGAATTTTTAAATTAGTAGAGATCCTAATTGAGATTTCTATGGCAGGAAAACCCAGGGAGGAAGTGAGTGATGGGGAGAGACAAAGACTCATGCCCTTTGGTTTGATCTACATGTCCATCAACTTTCAGATCAATAGGGGTTGGGTGGCAGAGATGATTCATCCACAAGACAGGCTTCTACATCAATGCTGACCCTTCCAAATGGGTTCTTAGCATTACAGGCCCAGGTGGCTCCTTCTGGGTGTGCATCCAAGACATTACAGGACATAATGGTAGAATAATCACCATTATGAAGAAAGGGTGGTGTGGATTCAAGAACCATATTTAAAATAGGGTTCTGTTGAATCCTAGCTAACTGTACTCCCGTTTGTAAAAGAATTCCTGGAAAACAGTGTTAACAGAAGCATAAATAGTCTTGATCAAAAGGGGGGAATGATAGAAGTGAACTGGAATCTTAAGATGACTAACCATAGAACTGGGAGGTCTATTGGCAGAGCTGGACTCCCTGTTACTCGTTAGTCCTAACTTCCTGTTAAAATTTTATGGTTGCAACTTCTGGGAGAGGGATTTACATAGGGGGACATCTTGGGAAAAGGGCACATCTTCTTTTTGCACGTGGATGGCTGGCCGAAGGTGTGCGGCCAGAGGTATGCACACTCACACTGCTGGAGTGGTTTTGTTTCTTTTTCTTTTCCCAAATAAACCCTATTTTGGTGGACTACCTGGAAAATTATTTTGTCCAGTTGACATTTTGGGGGCTCGTCATAGGAACTAAGAGTGAAGGCAAAGACTGACATACATACACAGATTTTTTTTCCAATGGAACGATATTAGGAAAAAAGATTTCCTGATACAAAAATATCTGCTCCAAATTATGGCTTCTGGTTCATCATTATCATTATTTTTAACCAAAAGTAATGAAACCAAGTATTTGTTTGAAATAAAAGTAGAGTAAGGACCACAAGAGCCATTTTGAATAAGAACTTTCTGAAATAGGGGGAATAATTCTTACATGAAGGTAGTTAATTTTCCCACCTGAGTTTCCCGTTGGCTCTGAGCATGGTAATCTACAACTCTTCTTCATAGGCTTAGAAAACTACTTGTTCTTATCCTTGGCCTGTGTCACTTAGCCTCTTGGACAGAGAAAAATTAAAAAGGAGATATGTGTTTTCAATTTCCCAGGAAGGTCATTTCAATTCAGCGCATGAGGGCAGTTGTCAATTAAGTTGTTCACCTGCCTTCGTGTGGAGGGTGTTGTAGTCTGGAGGTGTGTGTGCCATTTTTTTTGCTCTCAGGATGAAAGGAAGATACTCAAATCAGAAAGCATCAACTATTGTCTATTCTTCCTTTTGGCAACAATTATTAAGACAGTGAGTGCCTTCTGAGTAAGATGCGATGGGTGGTGGTGGTGGAAACATAAAAATGTGGTCCCTAACCTTGAATGTGACTCCCCTCTAAGAAGAGAGGCAGGTACACAAAGACCATCACAGGTCACCACTGTGGAACTGGGAGTAAGCTAAAGAAATCCATTGATGCTGGAACATCAGAGGAGTTGCTTAGAGGAATGGTTACTCTAGCTAAACTTAAAGAACTTCCTTACCTGGAGGTATCTAGAGGACTGAACCTAAGTGCTCGCAGTTACAATGTGATATCTACCATGTGGGGGAGTAGGGCTGCAGAGAAAAAGGCTCATAAATGGGAGGTAATGAGATCCATATAGAGTGTAGGAATTAGAAAGACAGGTGTAATCAGTCTGCAGAGAGTCTTTCAATCCCAATCTGCAAAGGGATTGGAGTTTATTGAGTTGGCAATGAGGAGCTATTGAAAGTTTTTGAGTGGGGGGCCTTACTGAATCATAGAGGAGCCATGCTAAATTAACCTGGTGGTTTTGTGCAAATATGTTGCAAGAGGGAAAGACTGAATTCAGAAAGACCCATTAGGATGTGTTTTTAATGGATCAAGTTTGAAACCCATTTCCTCCTTTGCATTCCCAGGATGTGGCATTGAGAATGCCATAGAGGTGGATGTGAGGGAAATCTGGAGGAATTATCCATAGGACTGACATGAAGCAAGAAACAAATCAAATATAATTTCCAACTTTCTTGTTGGGAGATGAGTCATGCCATTGACAGAAATCAGACAGTTGAGGGTGGAGTGTGTGGAAGGGGAAGGTAATGAGAATGTTTTCACAAGTTGAGCTTGATGTGCTAAGGGAATATTAATAATGTTTATAAATCATTTTAAGTATGTATAATATATAAATGTATAAGCACATCTAAATGTACATATATAAAACATTTATAATGTTTATAAATTATTATTACTATTATTTTACAAGAGGTACTTGTTAATAGAAACAATAGCAATATGACATTTTAGAGTATAAAGAATCCCCCTTCCTAGGATTGAAAAGACCTTCAAATTGTTCATCTTTTCTTTCTGTTTTTCTCTTAAATAGCTCATTTAGACTGGCGCAACTTATTAGAGCCTAGTGGTCACCTGGAGTTTTCTCTGGATGCAATTAACTGGACCTTTGGTGCCCAGAGCGCACAAAATAGCATACTCATGCTATTTTGGAGTATCACTGGAGTGGGAAGCAGGGTAGGAGAGGTGACTACTCTTTTTAAGAGGCTCTGGGTAATTCAAGAGGTGCTGCTGAGACTTTCATTTTTGCCAAGGAGAAGAAGGAGAAACTCCAGAAGGTCCCATTCACAGAGTTTTGCCTGGAGAAATTCTAGGAGCATCTCTGGTGAGATGCTATTTTCTAATGTGTACACTGGTGACATTCAGAGCAAACTAGTTGGAGGGATCCAGATTGCTCTCTTTCTGTTGTGTCTGATTATGTCACAGAGCATATTATTAAACTCTCTAGGAAATCTGAATGCGTTTAATGTGACATAGTGGTGTACACTTGACTTTTACGAGGTTACGAAGAGCTCAAATAATGTATTGCTGCTGTCATGATATATATGAGGTGAACCCAAAGATTCCCCAAACATGACATTTATTTCAGTTATTGTATTCTTTAGTTCTACCTGGTTATTTTTTATGATTTCTGTATCCTTCTTTATGTCCTCCTTAAGTTCCTGAAACATTCTTATCGTCAATGTTCTAAACTCTGTCTCTGAAAGGTTGGATACTTCTGTTTCATTTAGTTGCACTTCTTGAGGTTTCTTGTGACCTTTTACTTGGGACATGTTTCTTTGTTTCTTCATTCTGGCTGTCGCTCTGATTGCTTCGATGTATTAGGTCACCTAGAAAGAAAAAAGAAAAAAGGAAAAAGAAAAAAGAAAAAAAAAAGAGAAAGAGGGAAAAAAAAGGAAAAAGAGAAAAAAAAAGGAGGGGCTCTCTGCCTGCTGTAATCTGCACTGCAGACCACTTGCTCAGCAATAGAGAGATTCTGGGCGACTCAGCACCAGCTGCTGGGGGGAAGGGCTCAGTGGGTCATGCGCCGACCTCCCTCTAGACTTGCAGTAAGCTTCCCACAATTAGTTGCTGTGTGCTTCGGAACTGTGCACACCACCAAAAATCCTCACAGGTTGTTGTGGGCTGTCTGCTGCTGCAAAAAACCCTCTGTGGCCTGCAGAGGTCGGAGCTAGGGACCAGGGGCTCAGGGTGCCCCTGGCAACACAGCTCTAGGTGGGTGGGGCAGGCCCCCGAGGCACCACAGGGTGTGGTCAGTGGCCCCCACCAAGTCAGAGCAGCATGCACTCCTGCATGAGCAGCCAACCCACACAAACTCGCCTGGAAAGCCCCGGCTTAATCACGCAGGTGCCTAGCTCGCGGCCCTACACTCCCAGGAAAACTCCCTGTCTCAGCCTGTCCCAATCAGCCGCTCAAAGATCAGGCTGAACAGCCCGACAGCCAATTGCCACCAAGACAACTCTGCATGCGCAGTGCAGAAATCAGGGATCTAAGGCGAGTCGCGCACTTCCGGGTCTGTTGTAGTTGAAGTGTGCTTGCCAGGCGTTTCCCTGCCTACGCAGCACAAACAGTATGGAGGGTGGGGATCCAAGGCCGCATGCACACGCATGCATGCACGCACTCCTGCGCCAATTCCAGCAGACTAATGCGGTCCCAGACCTGAGCATCTGTGGGAGGGCCCAGCCCTGAAAAAATGGCGGTCCCCTGTGCACCACCCGCATGCAAGCTCCACACCAGGGGAACAAATGGAACACAAACCTCCAGCTCCCGTGCCAAAGTCACTCAGTTCAGTCCTTCCTGGAGGCTCCTGGGCCCCGCTCACAAAGCCTCTCCCTCCACCAGGAACCGGGTGAGTGATCGCCAGTGAGCAATTCGGTTTGCCAGCTCCACTGTTTCTCCAGACGCCCCCAGCCTCTCCGAGCCGAGCAAAGAGAGTCCTCACTATTTTCTCCTTCCAGCTATCGTAGAACTCCTCTTCCCGGCAACGTAACTCTGGGGTGGTGAGCGTGGTGTGGGGCCGGAGGGTCTCGCCCCCAACCGGAGAAGCCTCCCCACCGCTGAGGTGACCCTCACGGGGTTCGCCCTCTCTCGTCTCCGCCCCTCCTACCAGACTCGACGTGGCCTCCTCTTTAAGTCCTTCATTTAGAGGTTCTGTTCATCTAGTGTCCAGGAAACTTCTGAGGTTGAATATCTTATAAATTATTTGTAATTCTGTTGTGATCCTGGGGGTAGCCGGCACAGCGTCTGTCTATCCCGCCATCTTGCCGGAAGTCTCCAAACATGACATTTAAATGACAAAAGATCTCTAAGAAAATACATTTAAAAGACTGTAATCTCCCAGAAACAGGTTTATAAAGAGGGTTGAGATATATTTAAACCATGTTTTGAAGTTATGACCATTTTTATGCCTCTGGTATTTGATTAGAGGAAGTGTAATGAGATGAGGCAACATCTCAATGATTCAATGAATTCTGTGATAGGATTCCATGGATCAATGTTGGCTTAAAACCCTTGAAGCTCACTGAGTCTTTGCTATTCATTCTTGGAACCTCTCCCTATATTCTAGTACCAGAGAGGTATCTGTTGCTTGGTAACTTGATATGCCTACTACTCAAATCTTGCCAAGTGATAATGAGAAGGGAAAACATATTTCTTGGAGCTCCTGGCTCTTGCCAAGGAAATTTCTGGACTCAGTTATTCCAACATTTCTCAAAACATGGCCAGGAGGTGTCTCAGCTTTGCTCACCATCAAGTTCTTCATCTTTGTTCATCTCTACTCTGGCCCTACTTGATGATGTCTGTGATTGATTATTTTACTGCCAATGAAGCCACAGGAATAGGAAAGCTGGCCACGGTCATAAACGTTCTTGCCAAGGGAGCACTTTCCTGTAAGTTCCACAAGGGCTGGTGCTACTTGTTCTTGGCACTGCCACCACATGAGTTATTCATTTATTTATTCAGTAAATAGTTGTAACCATTGATAACCTACTTTATACCGGGCTCTGCACTAGGCACCATGGATATAGCGATTGGTTCTGACCCTGGCTCTGACTCTGCTCATATGGAGCTTAGAATTCAATGTTAGATTCACTCTCAAAATAAGCAATGCAAACAAAGGAAGCTCTTTGGACTTGAGGTTGATTGGCAACATAGGTTAGAGGCCCCACTAGCCTTGTAAGCTATATTGAGGATTTTAGTCTTTATTCCAAATGCAGTACAAACTTTTGAAAAGTTTTCATCCCAAAGGTGAGATGATCAGTTTGGGATTTTGAAGAGCACTCTGATTCAGAGTGGAATTGCAGGTTGCAAGAAGGACACATGGCAGTGGGGAGAGCAGGTGGGAGGCTGTTGTTAGGGTATGGGAGAAATAGTGGTAGCATGTGGCCATGGTGGAGATGTGGAAGGCCACCACAGCCCAGGCCCTTCCTAACAGTGCAGTGACCACTGTTGCTTCTCTGGACCCATGTTGGCCAAGCACCAGAAACTGTATTTATTCTGTATCAATCCAAGGAGATTCTCTCTCTTTTCCTATGATGACACTCTGAGGTCTCAGCCCCAAAGGAGCATTGACCTATACTACCAATGTGTGCCTGCCAGGTCAGGCCTACCACTCTCCAGATATGCCCAGCAATGTTGGAATATAGAGATGAAAACCGCTTGGGCTTCAGTCAGCTACTTACAGTTGGGCTGTTCACACTTAGAGAATTGGCTGGTAGCCAGAGTGAGGTTGTTATGGAAAATAAGCCATGTTTTGGAGGCACAAGAAAATTTCAGAATCACCATTTGATAACACTTCCATTATACATAACTAGACAGTTAAACAGATGCATTTCAGCACACTATAAGTGGGGTGGTGGTCCACAGTTTCTATATAGGAGCAATTATTAGGCTGGAAATGGCAGTGATGGAAGTGGGAACCTTAAAAGTGTATTTGCACAGCACCTTAGAGAAGTTTAAGGAAATACCAGTTGTCCATATTTTTAATAAATAGGGCAGCTGATGGAAATGGGGCAGCTGAACTAAGTATCTCAACACACACACACACACACACACACACACACACACACACACCTCTCTCTCCCATGTTCAAGTGTCCTGCCTCTACTTATGATAAATGGTAAAACAATGCTATGAACAGGTGCTTCAAAAGCATGGAAACTAACTTCCTGGGACAGTCAATTAAAAGGCAAAAATTTTCTAAAAATATTTATCCTTACCCATTTGGTGGGGAGTCTAAGCTCATTAATGCTTAGGTAGTAGCAGATATTTTAGTCTTTTTCATTCTCTTCTACTTATTTCTACCAAAGCACCTGTTTCCTCAGACCTACTTCCTCAAGAGCTGTTACCATGAACAAAACCAGCAGGGGACACACAAACGCAGAATCATTGAGGAGGTAGAAACCCTACTTGGAATTCTCCAGACCACCACAATTTTCTCCTGCCCCTGCTCAAGACACAAATTCAGGAGGGAATGACAGTGCTGTTTGGCTGTACATGGACTAAGAGATGTGTGGATCCTAAAAAGCAAAGCAAGTTCTTTTTACTGTTGGAACTGAAGGCAATTACATAGTAACTCTCAATTGTTTAACAAAAATGAGAAAACAACTAAAGCTTCCAGAACCATTATTTTACAAATTGACCAGAGCAATACTTTTACAAATTGACGAAAGAAAGAAAGAAAGAAAGAAAGAAACAAAGAAAGAAAGAAAGAAAGACAAGACAAGACAAGACAAGACAAGATAAGACAAGACAAGACAGACTTGCTATGGCTTCCAGCATACCCAAATAGCACATGTTTGGGAGAAATGATAAAATAATTGTAAATACCAGATTTATTTTTGAAAGTGAAAAGGCAATGAAAGAGATGAAGGCAGAAATGGCACTTAAATAATGAAGACATTCACGTAAACGTGTGTGTTTCCATACACACTCCTTTCCCATTGGTACTGAGCATGGATCTTCGTTCAAGAGGTTTAACCTACTCCAGAGAAAATGAATAAAAAAAAAATGCAGCACGGTGCTTGAAGGTCTTCACATATATAGACAGGTGTGAACTCTCTACCCCACACACTATAATTTGGGTAGCTTTCCTTCAAAACTATTAAGGCATCTTCATGGAGACAGGGTAATTTTCAGCAGTACTAATGGTGTGCTCGATGTTACTATAAGTGAGATAAATGATAGCAAACTTGTCTGAGCAGATGCATCTAATAACAGAGGCATGGAAGCATAATGCAGCAAGAATGGAAATGTTCAACAGCAGAAAACAAGAGCCCATGGAATCACTATGAGTGTGTTAGTGTGAGTCATTGAGTGAATGATGCACGTGTCCGACCAGTTTTGCCTACATCTCCATCTCCAATGCAACCAAATTCTTCAAAAGGTCAGAGTCACAAACCAGTGAAAGGGAAGGGAAGCCCTCTTGGGTTTAAGGTCTCTGCTTCCAGAAAACCCCAAGAAATTTCTACTGGAGGAATAAAGAGAAAGCCCCCCATTTTTTCAGAGCACTTAATGGGATCAGGAGATTGAGTCTCTAATATCTACCCATATTCAAGGAAAATAACACATTATCTATTTTAGCCTCAGTTCTTATAGACTGAAGAAAATCTAAAACAAATAGATGTGGCTTACAGCATTGCCCCATCTAATTAGTTTGTTTGTCCCCTCTCCACCACCAAAGTGGTTGATGTTATACATTTTCTCTTTTTCCACACTTGTAAATGAAAGCTCCAGAAAACTCGGCTTACCACTCCCTCAAGAGAGTTCTTGAAGAAAAGGCAAAAGATGGACCCAGTATAGTTTGGGCAAGTATTTTAGTCTTTGGCATAAAAATATAATGGAAAGGAGGGAAAAGAAACATTAAAAACAAAGGCATCATCTTTTGGTCTCTAGTTCTCAAAATTTTAAGATTGTGTCTTCAGATGACCCAATAGAAATGAGCCCAAGTAAGGCTTTATTTTTCATGGACAGCTACTGGCCAGGTTTGATGGACACACCAGAATCTTGACTGTCATCATCAGGATGGTTAATTCAATCCTGGCGGCCACACACAGCACCATTTCACAAGGTTTATTAACTTGGAATTGTTATGAAGATGACAAATATACTTGTAAATGGTTGGACCTATACCCAGAGAACTAGAACTATATGTATGTTACCATGCAGACACTAATCTGGAAATATAACCAACTGAAAAATATATGTATATTTTTTAGCTGAGCCATCCTGCCACCTGTTGGCAGCTCAGCTCAGGCTGGGACTCGAACTGCTGTTAGCTCAGAGCTCACACTCTTGAGCAAGTTCTTAACCAACTGAGCCACTCGGCCAGCCCTCAAAGTGTTTTGATGTAAACTACTAGTTCCTCCTCACAAAGGAACTGGTGAGGTTCCAGAGGTTTGGAGGACTTCCTCTTCTGATGTATTCTGTGGGCCCATGCTGTTCTCATTTTGCCCTGTGATGCTCTTGGTCTCTTCTGCACAATTGTCTTTCTGCTCTACTTGAAGCCCTACAAATGGTGGCTCCGGTATGGCACCTTGCTTTCTTGTGCTTGCTGACTTGGACACTGAGCGATTGTCTGTGTTCCCTAGATGGTTCTGCAGCATTTACTGAAATACCTCAATGGAGGAATGGGCATTTCAAATTCCTTAGGGGAGAAAATTTCTTCCTAATAAGAGTTTAAACTTGAAATGGTTTTCTTCCCTGAAACCACAGCATTTTCTAGAGTGCATTATTGAAATTTCCTTCTGCTCAAGTCCATACTGTACCAGATCTGGGGACAGAGTATAGAGGACATTCCTGTTGCTAATTTCATGTCCAATATTGTATAAGCCAGGACTTCCAAAAAGTGGGTCCGATTGCAAGTGTCTGGTTACTCTAGCACTGGAGAGATTATCAAATGTAGAGATGTGGGAACCCACCTCTGCATTTTCTGATTCATCAGGCCTAGGAGGGGCCCTTGGAAAGTTCATTGAAGGAGCTCACAGGTGATTCTGATCATCAGGCTGTTTACAAAACCACAAGTGAATGTTCTTCTTATGCCCCCTAGAAGGGCTCTCAATAGCAGCTCTGGAAATTGTTCCATTTGGACAGGAAAAGTCAAATGATTAATTATACCATGAAGTGTTTAGCTAGCTTGATTTTAGTTAGATAATACAAAAGACACGGGAACAAAATGTAACTTCTGAAAAAACTTTAACTGTGAACCCTAAGATTCTTTCTGGGATGTTTGGCCATTTTTCTGCTGAGATTGTCTTTTAATGGGGGTGGGGGGTAGTTTATCAAGTATGGCAGTGTCAGAAAATGAAAATCAGAAATGGATTAGCATATGGAAGCAGAGAGAAGGCAGGAAAGAAGCAGTTTGTTAGAGATATAGCTGATAGAAACCATGCCAGGCTTTTCCCTGGCAAACTCCTAACTCTACATGTGACTTTGTATCAACTGTGTTGGCCAAGACAGTGGCCACTGGTCTCATGTGGGTATTGAAAGTTAAATTAATTAAAATTAAAGACAGCTACAAATTTGGTTGTTTAGTCCCACGAGGCACATTTCAAGTGTTCTAAGAACCACATGTGGCCAGCCGCTACTGCATTGGACAGTACACGTAAAAGACATTTCCATCATTGCAGTGAGTTCTATTGGCAATGCTGGTCTAGAAGTAACCACTAAGAGGAGTAAGGGGCACCCCAAGCAATCTGACCACACCTTGAGGTGACGTTCTATGACATTGTTCTATGACATTGGTTGAGCTTATTGAATATCACGTCAGGACAGAATTGTTCACTAGTTTAAGCTGAAGCCACAGGACCTTGATTAACTGACAAGAAGAAATGTGCCTTGTTGGAATTCCTCAGTGCTGGCCTGAGCCAATCTCTTTTGAGATTGTTCAAGTGTTCACAACTCTCTGGGACTCTAGTCAATACTTTTTATGTGGTCAGAGAAATGTGTGGAATCCTAGAGTCTATTTTTGTTCTCTTTCACCTTCAGACCTGTCATTGGAGGTTTGTCTGACTCGGGTGTTGCATGTCTGCTGTACTGTCTAGAAAGACCACTGAAAGAGGTTTGCTCTTCAGCAGAGGAAGGCGGTACATTTCCTACTTCTTGTCATTTTCTGATGACTGGGGAAAGCATATGACTTGAGATCAGCTTTAAGAATAGGTGTGTTTTATGGGGAGAGAGGTAAAGGATTGGGGGTGGAAAAAATGGGAAAGAAAATCCAAATGACATTGTTGTAGGGTGTACTGTTTGATCCTATATCCAAAAAAGGCTGGGTGCTGAAATGAATTTCTCATTATTTCCTGCAGGTGGAGATGTTGGAGCTTGGATGGGCTTCGTGGCTGTGAACAGAAGCCTAGACTTTCGATGAATTTGATCTCCAAATAAAGATAGAAGGATCTTGTGTTGCTGGCTGGATCATGAGATAGTAGTGGCTAACACTTATTTTAAAAACTCATTCAAATTCTTAGAAAGAAAAAAACCAGATTCCAAAGTGACCATATAAATATTGCTTTTAGAGGAAGATTTTTGAAGAAACTATTTGGCAAAAATATATTTTATAAACTCTTTTCACCTCCTGATATTTTGCATTAGAAAACCATGAGTGATTTATGGCCAAAACTTCCTTTGGCATCTGTTTAAATGATCTAGCTCTTTCAACTTGCCTCAATGAAATTCCAGTTCATTAATCAATATTCATTTATTGAATGTTTTTTACATGCAAAATGGAACCAGTGTTTCTTAGCTCAACTTGTTCCTTGGCACATGATTTCTGATATCCTGAATTATAACTTCTTTACTAGTACTTAGAAAAGCTAGTTTCTGCTTCCTCTCCTTTTTCTGTTTTATCTTCTGGTTCCTAGCTCAAGAGCATTGTGTCTGACATATGAATATTTGTTAAGTGAGTGAATAAATTAGAAAATTACATTTAAAGCAGATGTCGTAGGCTAGTCAGTAAAATGTACTTGGTGTGTGGTGGTCAAGACATTGTGGAGTATCAGCTTTCTTCATAATAATGCCTGATATTTGGATAGCGCTCCTCACTCTCACAAAACTCTTTCACACCTATAATTTCATTTGATTTGCTGTTAAACCATAGAGAACGTTATTAGCCTTTATATACCTTCATTTTCCACCCATGGCAAAAAAAGAAAAAGATGCCCAATAGATATACCATTATCTTTTCATCAAGATTCTGTAAGAGTTATTGAGTAATTCCCCAGAATACTGTTAGAAGTAAATCTGAATATAAAAGGGAACACCATCACTATTGAAGTTTTTAAAGCCTATTTGTTATGGTAGAAATGGGAAAAGCTACCCCAATAAATTAATACAATTCAATTATGAATATCATGTTACCTCTTACTGGGACTTGGCAGAATGTGATATTGGGGCTTTAAAATCTTACTGAGATGATTCTACAAGGAAAGCCATATAACATATCTGCTTATTTTGTAGCCAACTTTGTGGCTTATTTTTTATACTTCCAGGCCTCTCTCTAAGTGTTTTCCCAAGTAGTTTGCACAGCCAGCCTTTGTGCACATGAGTTTTATTCCTTAGGCTGTGTATAAATTTCTTCAGGGCAGAGGTTACTTGAGGCCCAGTGGTCAAAGGTATGGGTTCAAACCCCAGGTCTACCACTTGCCAGCTGTAGGAGCCTGGAAATTCACTCAGCTCTCTGACTCTAAGCTTCCTTGCATCTCAAATAGTAATTATTGTACTTACCTCCCAGAGAATGGATGAGAATCAAGTCAACGTCTGTGCAACGTTACCAGTACAGTACCTGGCATAGAATAAATACACAATAAATGGTAACTGGTTATATTCTTGTTGAATTTTCTTTCTCATTTATTCCTCAGTGCCTATAGAAATGTTAGGATCTTAGAAGGTAACAAGTAATGCTTACGATTTGAGTAGAATGGTTCTTACACGGTGTTAATTATCTTGATCTTTTGTCTGTTGATCTTTGTGTCCATATCTATATGTGGGCCAGGATATATTGACTATTAAAAGTAAGATGGTGGAAGTTCCGCACGTAATGAAAACTTTAACAGGTTGGGAAGAGTCTTGGGAAATTAAATGTTAAAATTTGCTCTCTTAGAAATAGTTATTAACATCACAAAACCAAAATAAAGGCAACTGGGGTGGAATGTTGGTTTAAAACTCCTCAGCTTCATTGATTGTTTTACATAACTAAACCTAACTTAATTGATAGGAAAAAAATAATACCACTGTCCTCAATGCTTCATCTCAGCAAATACAGTTTTATAAATGAAACTCTTACTCCAAAATTCCAGAAGGGAAACCTTTTTCTGATAGCATTGTTGGGGAAGCACCTGGCCTCTTGGTGAGAATCCAGGATTCCAAAGCTATATTTTCACCTGACACTAGCCTTTCTGTGGAAAAAACCATGAACAAGATCACATTTGGGGGAGGGAGAGAGAATAACTCCAGAAACTCTAGGCTTCTCTGGAAGGTATGCTTCCACTCTGTCAAAGTTAACTCTCTGATGACAATGCTGATTATTTTGCACCTCTTCAAAAATTCTTTCTGTTACAATGCTCCCACTGCTCATGATAGTAAGCAATTTGAAGAGTAAAAATTATTTAGCCCCCTTTCAATGTTGCCAAAAATGAAGGTAGGTGTCCAACTATGTCCCATGGTGGGGTTTTTACCTCCATGCCCTGGCCGTCTTAGATCAGGACCATTTCTTCAGGTAGCCACTGCCCGAGGATGAACAGAGGAAAGGATTGATCCCCCATTTCTGGGTCTGTTTGGCTAGTTCTGATGCCAATGTTTCCAGCACCTTAGCTGAAAGTTCTGGACAAAGACTGCCAGAGACAGTACAAGCTGATGGGGGAGTTTTCAGTTTCATTTTTAAAAGAATGGGAGTAGATGGCTAGTTGTAATACTTTTGAGTTGGTGATGCAAGAAGTTTTTATTGAATGGTCTCTGCCCACAGACCCCTTAATTGGTATCTTTACTTCGCCTTCTACTTTCTGCTCCACATCAACAGCACCTCTATAAACCAGTTTCAGATTTGTAAAATAGGATAATAATAGTACCTGCTTACTAGGGTTTTTGTGAAGGCTAAAGGAAGTAATTCATGTGACTGGAATATAGTAAATAATTGTTCAAGAAATGTTGGTTGTTACAATTATTATTTAAATATGTTTGATACTAAAATACCATTGGTGGAAAAACACAACCTTTCTGAAGGAGGTTGCTTCTTGTTGCTTACTTTATAGATGATCTCCTTACATTTAAATAGTCACCATTTGACCCAAATTTCTTAAATTGACCTAGGAAACAGCAAGAATAGTCCATGATCTGATACAATTCTTTTGCTCTCTTACCAGCCTCAGTCCTTTTAGGTTATATTTTAATTATTGGCTAAAATAAGTATCAAAGTTGAATTTTTAAAAAATCAGGGAACTTAACATAGTGAGTTGCATATAAATTGACTGCTCCTGTGGATATGAGGCAATGCTTAAAGAATCGATTTTGCCAGGCTAAAAATAAAAAGGGAGGAAAACACAGCAATTTTTATAAAACTCTTTGTGATTTGGATCAATAGTGCTGTTCACATGAAGAGCTGAATAATTACATTTTTGTTTGGTGTTGGGAACCCCAATTTATTGCCTTGCCATTTTGTTATTAAACCATCAGTAGAGTATTTTTGTTCTTTAACAGCTTCTTGCTCTGGTTCCTCCCTCTCCTCTGTATTTGGAATTCTTTTTCTGTTCCAGAAACTTAGCATTTATTCTTTGCTAGGGAGTTTTCATGTCTTATAAAAATATGTTTTCCAAATTAATATTTTCATAAGAAATTTTAAGAGTAGAACATAACATTTTTCTGATGAGAAAATTGACATCTCTACCACTCCTAGAAGGAGCCACATAACAAAAAGGGAAGTGGTAACAATGATTGTATTTAGAGAGAATAAGATGGCATTGCTTTACTGAGCACATGTTTGAGGCACTGTTCTAAGTGTCTGCGCATATCTAACTGCTTCATTTTTGTCCTCCCAATGCTGCTTGGGATATGTGCTACCATATACATTTTACTTCTATGGAAACTGGGGCTTGGAGAGACTAAATACTTACTCAATGTCATATTTAGTAAATATCTAACTGAAATTTGAACCCAAATCTGTTTGATCCTGAAGACACTGTATCTTGTTACATTGCCTCTCAAGATAGTCCAATTTCTGTTTGTTTCCTTAATGACATTAACTTAAACAATTTTTTTGAAAGAAATTTTGAAAAAATGTTCATTTCTTTCCTTTTCAGAAACTCAGCAGCCAAGAAGACTCTTCTGTCAGAGCTTCTGACCAAGAGTTGGGAAACTGGAATTTCCATGCTCAACAGTTACTCCAGAAGGAATTATACATGTGAACAGTGTTGTTTTACTCCACTACCATGATAAAATGATTAAACTTTCCAGAAATTTCCAATTGGCAAGATTATTATGACGTGGAGAAGTGTCTCAACCTCTCTGATTGGACACCATTGCCGTGTTATGGGATGAAGACTGGGAATGTCAGTGTTTCCATGATGGCCTCTGTGGCTTTTAGTGAGAGGGGCTTAGACCTGTGATGTTGAACAAGCAGGGGGGTGGCATGTTCTTTCAAAAAGCGTAGAGAACACTCAGTAACTGTTGCCTCATAAACTACATTGGGGCCAGCCGAGTGGCGCGGTGGTTAAGAGCTGGCTTGGGACGCCAGAGGGCCCCGGTTCGGATCCCACATATGAGGGCCAGTGACACTGCCCTCTACAGCTAAGATGCTGAACAACAGCTCAACCTGGAGCTGGGCTGCCGTGAGTCGCCGGCGACGGCGTAGGATGCAGCCATTGCTGCAGTGAGTTGCCATGGGCTACCATGTGTAGCCAGTAGCCAGCGTGAGTGGCCGTCCAGAGGCCGGCGACTGATCTGCCTCGCCCGGGAAGAGCACAATGATGGTGCCAACTTGGGCCAGTGAAGCAATGTCTTCCACAGCTAGACTGAAGAACAAAGGACAGCAACTTGTCTATTCCCCTTCCCCCAATTCCCCAGTGCTGTTCCAATCCCCCAATTCCCCAATAAAAATCTTTAAAAAGAAAGAAAGAAAAAGAACTACATTGGTTCTTAAGCTGGAGTCTATGGACCCCCAAAATGTCTATGGTTAGAATTCAGAGGATCCGTGAACTTGAATGAGAAAATAATTATACCATTTTCACTAACCTCTAACTGAAACTTGGCATTTCCTTTCATTATAAATGTAGACAACAAACCACCAGAGTATCGATAGTACTTGTGACTTTATCACTAGAAATCAGATATTTTCACATCACATTACAGTTGTTACAGAGATATCAAACTACCATTTATGCTCATCACTACCTCAAAATTATAGGGATTACTAAACTCAGCACCAGATCCTGTTATTTAATGCACTAATAAAGAAGTACAGGGGTGACTGATTAGCTCAGTTGGTTAGAGCATGGTGCTGATAACACCAAGGTTGCCGGTTTGATCCCTACATGGGCTACTGTGAGCTGCGCCCTCCTTAAAAGAGTCAACTATGCCAATGTGTAACCAATGACCATGGCTGTTCCCCAATCAAATAAATGAATAAATAAATAAATAAATAAATAAATAAATAAAGTACACATATTACTATATTACATATTTGTTCTTTTAAAATAATTTTATTTAAAAATATAGCTAACATAAAATATTACATTAGCTTCAGGTATACACCATAATTATTCAACATTTATGTACCTAAAGAAGTGATGACCATGATAAAAGTCCAGCAACCATCTGACACCATACCATGCTATCACAATATTATTGACTATGTTCCCTATGTTGTATGCTACATCCCCATGACTTATTTGGTTTATACTTGGAAATTTGAGCCTCTTATTTCCCTTCACCTTTTGCCCCCTTTTTAATTTTCAATTACAGTTGATATTCACTATTATTTTATATTAATTTCAGGTGTACAGCATAGTAGTTAGATATTTATATAATTTAAGAGGTGATCCCCCTGACTAGTCTAGTACCCACCTGGAACTATAGTTATTACCATACTATTGACTTTATTCCTTATGCTATACCTTACATCCCATGACTACTTTGTAACAACTTATTTGTACTTCTTAATCCTCTCCCATTTTTCACCCATCCCCCCAAACACCCTCCTATATGGCAACCATCACAATGTCCCCTGTATCTATGAGTGTGTTTTTGTTTTGTTTGTTTGTTTCTTGTTCTTTAGATTCCATATATAAACAAAATCCATTGCATCTTTCTTTCTCTGTCTGACATACTCCACTCAGCAAGACACCCTCCAGGTCCATCCATGCTGCCAAGATGGCAAGAATCCATTCCCTTCCCTGACAGAGCAATATTCTATTGTATATGTGTATTGCCTCCTCTTTGTCCATTCTTCCATCGACAGACAGGCTTCCTCTACATCTTGGCTATTGTTAAAAATGCTGCAATGAACATATGGGTGCACATGTTCTCTCAAATTAGTTTTTCGGGTTTCTTCGAATAAATCCCCAGAAGTGAGATTACTGGGTCCTTCTTTGTCTCTTGTTATAGCACTTGTTTTAAGTCTATTTCGTCTGGAATAAGTATATGTATTGCTATCCCAGCTTATTTTGTTTGTTTTTTTGCATTTTCAAGAAATAACTTTTTTTATCCCTTTACTTTCAGTCTGTGTGTGTCTTCATCTGAAGTGAGTCTCTTGTAAGTAGCATATGTAAGAGAATTTTTTTCTTATTCAGTCAGCCATCCTGTGTTTTTGATTGGTACATTTAATTCATTTACACTGAAAGTAATAGTTGATAGATATGTAGTTATTGCCATTTAATTATTCATATTTTTAATTTTTTTTTTGTCTTAAAGAAGCCCCTTTCAGATTCCTTGCACTACTGGTTTGGTGATGATGAACTCCTTTAGCTTTTTCTTGTCTGGGACGTTCTTTACTTCTAAATAATAGCTTTGCTGGGTAGAGTAATCTTGGTTGTAGGTCCTTGCTTTTCATCACTTTGATTATTTCTTGCCAATCCCTTTGGCCTGCAAAGTTTCTGTTGAGAAATCAGCTGACAATTTTAAGGGAGTTCCCTTATATGTAACTAGTTGTTTTTCTGTTGCTGCTTTTAGGATCTCCTCTTTGTCTTTAACCTTTGGCATTCTAATTATACTATGTCTTGGTGTGGGCCTATTTGGGTTGATCTTGTTTGGGACTGTGTGCTTCCTGGGCTTGTATGCCTATTTCCTTTGCCAAGTTATGAAAGTTTTCAGTCATTATTTTTTCAAATAGGTTCTCAACTCCTTGCTTTCTGTCTTTTCCTTCTAGTACCCCTGTGATATGAATGTTGTTATGCTTGATGTTGCTGCAGAGTTCTCTTAAACTATCTTCATTTAATATTTTTTCTTTTTTTACTCTTCTGATTGGGTGTTTTCTGCTACCATGCCTTCCAAATCACTGATTTGATCCTCTGCTTCATTTAGTCTGCTGGTGATTCCTTCTAGTGCATTCTTTATTTCAGTTATTGTATTCTTCTCTTCTTACTGGTTCTTTTTTATGGTTTTTATGTTCTTTTTTATGCTTGCTATCTCTTTGTTGAAGTTCTCACTGAACTCTATATCTGGTATGTTGCTTGCCTCCATTTCATTTAGTTCTTTTTTTTTTTTTTTTTTAGTTTTCTCCTGTTCTTTCATTTGGGATGTATTTCTTTGTTTCCTCATTTTGGCTGCCTCTATGTGTTTGTTTCTATGTATTAGGTAGATCTTCCATGTCTCCCAGTCTTGGCCAGTGGCCTTATGTGGTGTTCTGTGGAGCCCAGTGGCACAGTCCTCCCGGTCACCTGTACTGGGTGTTCCAGGAGTGTCCCTTGTGTGGGTTGTGTGTGGCCTCCTGTTATGGTTGAGCCTTGCTTGCTATTGGCATGTCAGTGGGTGGGATAGACCCTCAGGCTGACTGGCTGTGGTGTTCAGCCATATCCACAGTTTACGGGCTGCTGTGTGGGGGGATTCATCCCAGTGGGCTCTGGTGCCTGTTGAGACTGCCCTTTGGATGTGCCACTTATGGGGCTAACTGGGTGGTGCTCTGCTGTGGTCTGAAGCTAACCTCAAAGTATGTTGGTTCTGGGGCCTCTTGGGAAGGGCTCTGGTGCAGGCCAAGGTCAGCCACTGCCTGTGACCAGCTGGGGAATACCTGGTAGGAGCTACAAAGCTATCGGCAATTGGTCGCTGTGTATGCTAAATCTTGAGGTATGTGGGAGAGGCCATGCCGTGAACTGAGGACAGCTGTCACCAGTACCTGGTCTGGCGTAGTTCCACAAAAAGCCAAGACACTCTGAGGTTTGCTGCCACATGCTGGCTCCCTTCAGGTTCAGCCACTAATAAAGCCTCTTGCAGTACGTGAGTTGGGTTTGGTGAGGTCTCAGGGAGTCACCAGGGTGGAGTGAGCAGAGCTCACCAGATCAATTCAGATTCAGATTTGGCCATGGGCATGGGGGAGTGCTCAACACAGGAAAGATGGCACCCACGTGCCTGCTGCATGGAGGAAGACCCCACACAGGGGAAATGACGACTGTCCTCCAGCCCTTGCCCCAAGCCAAACACCTCAGTCTGCCCTCCCATTCCCCTTATGCCTCCCATGTTCCCCAAGTCACTGGCCCTCTCCTGGAGCCCAGGGTGAGTCCTGCAAGTGAGTGAGTTTGTGCACGTACCCTTTAAGAGAAAGTCTGGGCTTCCCACAGCCTTCCGTCTCACCCAGGCTGCCAGAATCCCCACTGGTTTTCACAGGCAGATATTGTGGGGGCTCCTCTTCCCAGCACCAGTACTCTGGGCTGGGGATCCTGGTGTAGGGCTGGGGTCCCTCGCTCCTCTGTGGGGAACCTCTGTGGCTAAGACATCCCTCCCAATTCTCAATTGCCTCACTGAGGTTTGATGCTGGCCCCTTGCATGTCTCGTCCCTCTTACCAGGCTCAATGTGGCTTCTTCTTTATATCCTTAGTTTTAAAATTTCTGCTCAGCTATACTTCAGATGGTTCTCCAAGTTGATTGTTCTATAATTTAGTTGTAATTTTAATGTGTTCACAGGAGGTGGCAACTGCAGTGTTTATCCACTCCACCATCTTGGGTCTCCTACATATTTGTTTTTTAATATTTTGATAACTGTATTTTAAGGTGTTTCCCTTTGTAATTCTCCATATTTTATTTGATGCATTTAAAACATTATTTTGAGAGTGTTCTCAATAAAAATAAGTTGAGATCTTTGCTTTAGAAACAAGTAACAAAAATACACATTTAAAATTACAACTCCCTTGACACGATTTGTTTGGTGATCTTTGGGTTTCATTCATTGTAACTTGCTGTTTCTTCAAGCTATACCCATGTACCAGTTTTAACTAAAATCTGTATCACATTTCAGAATCTGTATCATTAAATTTTTTTAATCACCATTTTGTACTGGACTGATTAAATAAACCACATATTGAAATCTGCATATATCTTACAGGAAAAAAATTATATCATTGACAATTTTCTGCATTTTTCTGGTATTCTGGGGATCAGAGCCTCCCTACATTTGTCAGTCAAGTGCTTTTGTAGTTCCAGCTTTCTGTAAAGAGCTGGCAACCTTTTTTAGGGTCCTATAAAGTGTAACAGAAAATGACACCCTACCCCCAAATATCTTCCTTACCAGCATGACACAGTGCCTGGAATTTCAA